AAATACCCTTTTAATCCCCATAAATACCCTCTTAATCCCCACAAATACCCTCTTAATCCCCATAAATACCCTTTTAATCCCCATAAATACCCTCTTAATCCCCACAAATACCCTTTTAATCCCCATAAATACCCTCTTAATCCCCACAAATACCCTCTTAATCCCCATAAATACCCTCTTTTTAATCAAATGCCACGCATTTGTTATTCTTCTGATTATTTATTATCTTTTGACTATTACATTATATTTTCAAAATAATTTTATTTAATTTGCTTCGTATTTTTTGTAACTTTATTGTTAGTCGAGCTACATCATTTTAAAGCCTTACAAATAATTTTAAACCACGAAGCAAGTTAACCACAAAATAGGAAACAATTTAATTTCATTTTATTATTTATCAAGTTGCTAACAATAAAGTGATAAAGTGATAGGAGTATTAGTAATAAACAAACAAACAAAAATAAATTTCTCCTCACAAATTTATTGAAATTTGGATTGTGTGTGATTTAACAATAGTTTCAAACGTGGTTTATTTTGATAAATCGCGCCCCGTAACTAAAATAGCATTCAAATTATTTTTTAAATTGGGGAAATTTTCCGACTGATGCTACGCATTTATTAGTCGCCTGCTTAACATTTGAAGAAATAACGTTAATATATAGAAACAATAATGAGTGAATATAAAAAGCTCAAGAATTCTGTCGAAGAAAATCAGTCTTGAAAAATAATTCTTTAATAATAACTACTCCAAAAATGAAGGTAAACACTACTAGAGATGTCCAAGACCGAAAATTTTCCAAGATTCAAGACCAATACTTGACCATAAGACACATGAATGAGCCTCTAGATCCCAGATTTGACCACAAAACTCAATACCATGACTGACCCCATGACCCAAGCCCATGTCTCAAGATTGACCTCCAAGCCCCTATTAAACCCAAGATGATTTTTGAGAAAAGAATCGAGAGGAAAATGTCTTGGACGTCTCTGAAAATACTGTCTCCCTTAATCTTAAATTTTAAAACAAATTCAAGTTGATACTGTTGGTTTTTATTCAAGTGTGCGTAATAGTGGAGGTATTATCTGATGCCAATCGACGTATGAGTTTGACTTCCAATAATTTTCTCAAATTTATTATTTAAAGCCGTACCGCCACCGTGTGATAAATACAACCCTTGCCTACCTGGATATAAGTGCGAGTATAAGATATGTGTCCGAGACATATCTACTACTACAACGAAGAAGCCGACTACTACGAAGAAGCCTACGACGAAGCTTACTACGCCTAAAAAAAGCAGAATAATTTTTTAAATTTAAGATAACTTTCTTCTTATTTCAGAACCATGTTGTTATAGCGGAAACCGTCGTTCAAACTGTTACTCTTGTCCTCTTTATTTCACTTGTTACAAGGGCCAATATTGTCAATATGTACCTCCACCAACTACAACAAAGAAGCCAACAACAACACCCAAACCACCACAGACTTGTAATAAGTATACCCGTTGTCCTCCTGGATATAAGTGCGAGTATGGGATTTGTCGTCCAATCCCTACGACTACTACAACGAAGAAGCCAACCCCGCCTAAACCAAGCAAGGCAATTAAGATTTAAATAAACTTTTTTGTTTATCAGGATCATGTTGTTGGTATGGAAATCGCGGTACAAACTGTTTCTACTGTTTCACATCATTCATATGTATTCAGGGTAAATACTGTAAGTATGTGCCCCCACCGACAACAAAAAAACCACCAACTACACCCAAACCTCCAACAGATTGTAATGTCTATAAAAAATGTCAACCTGGATATATATGCAACTATAATGCCTGTGTTCCGAAATATTGAAAGAAATTATTAAATGAAATTATTAAATGAAAGTGATACGTACATATATTGAGATAACTAAGAAATGATTTGCAATCAATTATACTAAATTAAAAAATAATTAATTAAATGATGCATAAATTATAATAATTATTACCCATATTGTTATGTATGACTTTTTTCTAAATTTTTGGTTGACATTAAGAGCTCTGTGACTTTGACGGGTGTATATTAGATGTTCATCTGTATTTACATTTAATATATGTAACTTGATAAAGTATAGGAAATTTACTACAAAATACTGTTGGTCTCCTGTTTGGAAAATTTACACTACGAGGTTGGGTGACATTAATTACCGATCAAATAAAAATGAGCCTCCCCTATCTCGAAGCTGAAATTTTTCACACATATGACTGTTTCGTTTGTAGGGGTTTCTAATGAGCACAAAAAAAGCTAAAATATTTTTTGAAATATCCCCAGATTTAAAAGGATGAAAATCCCACGGGATCGAAATCCCACGGGATTTCGCTAAATTTTAGAAAAGGATTAAGGGATTAATCCCGCGGGATCCTGTCCGTAAACAATTTTGAAGAAAATCCCGTTACTGATAAATCTCTTCATATTCAAAAAAATTTAAAAGTTTGGAACTAGAACTAACTTGGAACAAGTTCTAGAACTGGAACTAAGGAATTTTAAAAATTGAGTTCCGGAACTGGAACTAAAAAAATTAAAAATCTGGTTCTTGAACTGGAATTAGTTCCAGAGATATTTTGGAACTTTGACATCACTGATCGTCAACTTAGTATGTTTATTAGTCTCAAAAAGTCTTAAATGCCTCGATTTTTCCCAAAATCTTTTGTCCCTAACTATATGGGACGAGCCCTACTCATCAAGAAATGGTCACTTTTTCATGTTTTTGGTATCATTTGATAGAGAATCAAAAGCTCTACAACATATCAAAAAATCAGAATTTTTGACCGATTGATAAAAAAGTTATATAAATACTCGATAGCATACTGAATATCTCAAAAATATCGAAAAAAAAGAATATTTTTTGCAAAAAGTATACCTTTTTCAAAATCAATTTTAACCCATAAAATTTAACTTTAAAAATATAAAATTTATATTGATCGATAGAGAATGAATTGAATTTTCAAAATCTTTTTAAATTTTGAAAATCGGATTAGAATTGGCCGAGAAATGATCAAGACGCTAAAAGTTGCCGCAAAAAATTCAAACATGTTTGAATTAAAAAAAGAGACGCCGGCGTCAAGACGCCGGCGGAAGACGCATTTTATGTAACCACTCAAAAAAGCGGCAAGACGCCCGGCGTCAAGACGCCGGCGGAAGACGCGGGTTATGTAACCACTCAAAAAAAGCGGCAAGACGCCGGCGTCTTGACGCCGGCGGAAGACGCAGTTTATGTAACCACTCAAAAAAAGCGGCAAGACGCCGGCGTCTTTTACTCTCTTCATTTCCCATTATCTTTTCTGCCGCAAGACGCGCGCGTTTTTTATGTAACCGTAGCATAAGTTCACTATAAACCCTCGGTTCTAAGCCTTGGTCAAATTAGATTAAAATATAGATTTATTCAAAGGGGTTAAAATATTATAAGTTAAATATTATAAGATCTCTTTAATTGAGATGGCAGGTCAATTCTTATCATTATTTATATTTTTGAGAAAAGCTATTTTTTAATTTGTTTATTTGTTTATGCGAATGCAGCAAAATAACAGTTAAATTTTATGATTTTTGTTACAAAAATATCAGCTTATAGCATTCGAAAGCCATAAGAGAGAGCTATCTTTTTTTCAATTAGATGGTCATGTAGGATCACTCATTAACAAGTTATATCCGTTTGGAAAAAGAATTGGAAAAATCAGATATTCGACTGTATTATCTTAACTCCCAAAATTAATTCGTTATCACCATCCATTGAAAAAATAATTTCCTTTCCAAGGAAATATTGAGCTTGGAAGGACTTTACCCGAAAACTGCACGATTATCTTTCCTTTCAATTGTGTCAACAATACATTAGCCTATTCTCTCTCACTATATGTTTATTTAAGTGATTTGAACACAGTCATACACGTTTCAGTTGTGTTCAATTTAATATTTATGACAGCTAGCGATAATTTATTGTACATATTTACTCGTGTAAATACAAAATTTTTATCACTTTGGCGTGTTCGGTGTTAGGGAAGTTTCTAAGGGACTTGATCAAACCGTCCCAATCACATCCACTCCCTTTTTATCCAATTATATCCCGCGCAAATCGCGGATTCCCTTCAGAGCGCCATTTTTCCTCCGGAAACAGTTATTCCGAAAATTTGGAGACGAAAGTTCCGGAATATTTTCGGAATAAGGTAGAGTAAGGTAAATGTTTGAGGAAAAGTTTTGTATGTTTTATTATGGGTAAATAGGTAGATATGTAACAAACATTTAAACTATATTTTGGGACAACAAAATATATTATTTAATTTGAATATGTGTACATTTAACGTGGCATTTTCCACGTTATTAACAAAATGATAAATTGTTATTTTTCTTAAAGAAAACTTGTAATTTTTTGTTAACACCAAACTTCCTCTCTATGTATATTTTAATGAAAGTTGGTTATAAATTTAGCTTTGAAAATCGAAAATAAATTTTAAACGTGTGACACGTATTTGTTATTTTTCTAATAAACATTTTAAAAAATTAGCTGTATATATGACTCCACAAATTCAGTCAGAAAAATCGTTCCTTAACAAATTTATTAATAATAACAACTCTAAAATGAAGGTAAATTCTCCTACACTTATTTTAATCCTAATAAAAATTAAATTAAAGCTGCTACTGTTGGTTTTTATTCAAATGTGCCTAATTGCGTTGGTATTTGCCGATGCTAAACGACGTATGAGTTTAATCTCAAAGAATTTCCAATAATGTATTACTTATAGCCATATTGCCAATACCATGTGGTAAAGGCTATGATAAATGTCCACCTGGATATATATGCGAGGATGATAAATGTGTCAAGATTATACCACCGACTCCGACTACAACAAAGAAGCCAACATCGCCCAAACCAAGCAAACCAATATTATTAAATTTAATTAATTTTCTTTTCTTCCAGCCGAATGTTGTTGGAGAGGAAATCGCTATGTAAATTGTTACGAGTGTTTCTTTCCATTAATGTGCTACGAGGGTAAATACTGCCGAATCCGTCCAACATTACCACTACCAATAACAACACCCAAACCACCACCTTGTAAGAACGATTATGACTGTCCAGCTGGTTATAAGTGCAAAAATGATGTTTGTGTTCCTGTTCCTACGACTACAACAATAACGCCAACCACACCCCCACGCAAGCCAAACTATTTGAATATTTAAATTAATGTTCATTGTTTCAGCAAAATGTTGTTGGTGGGGAAATCGCTTTATAAACTGTTACTACTGTTTCCCACCATACGTTTGTAACCAGGGTCAATACTGTCAGTATGTGCCACCAACGCCAACACCGCCACCAACAACAACACCCAAACCACCATTTTGTAAGAATGATTATGATTGTCCAGCTGGTTATAAGTGCGATTATGAAGTTTGCGTTCCTGTTCCTACTAGTACTAATACGCCAACTCCTCCCCCACCAAGTAGAAAAATACTATTTAAAATGATAATTTAAAATGACTATTTCATTCAGAACAATGTTGTTTTACTGGAAATCGCTATAAGAACTGTTACTGGTGTCGACCAATATTTACGTGTGTCGATGGTGAATATTGTGAATATGTGCCTTCAACAAATACCCCACAAACACCCAAACCACCTTCCTGTGTTTTGCATAACCACTGTCAAGCTGGATATGAGTGCAAACATGATGTTTGTGTTCCTGTTCCAACGACTACAACAATAACGCCAACCCCATCCAAACCAAGTAGAAAAATACTTGATAATTTAAAATGACTATTTCATTCAGCTTATTGTTGTTTTATTGGAAATCGCTTTATGAATTGTTACCGATGTCAACCATCATTTACGTGTGTCGATGGTGTATATTGTGAATATGTGCCTTCAACAACTACACCAACAACACCCAAACCACCAACTTCCTGTGTTTTGTACAACAACTGTCCGGCAGGATATGAGTGCAAAAATGATGTTTGTGTTCCTGTTCCTACTACTACAACAATAACGCCAACTACATCCGAAACACGCATACAAACATTTATAAATTTAAATTAGGGTTGGCCGAACCCCGACATTATTTTCAGCCCCGACCCCGACCCCGAACAAGTTGAGCAACCCCGACCCCGACCCCGACTTTGTCAACCCCGAAAACCCCGACCCCCGACTTTTCCAACCCCGAAGGCTCGGGGACCAACCCTAATTTAAATTAATATTCTTTTTTCAGCACAATGCTGTTGGAGAGGAAATGGCTTTTCAAATTGTTACTACTGTAATCCACCATTACTATGTTTTCGGGGTCAAAGTTGTGAATATACACCGCCACCAAATACATTCCCACCAGCAACAACACTCCCAACAACACCGCCGACAACACCTGCATCGACAACAACAACAACTCCCACACTACCACCACTATCGCCCACACCGATTCCCTGTGAAAAATGGTGTCACCCGCCATTCAAATGCTACGGGGACATATGTGTAGCCCCACCGACTATACCAGATACACCTTCTACAACGCCCAGACCATCAACACCCTGTGATGAGTATAACCCCTGTCCTTCTGGATATAAATGCGATGATGATGTCTGTGTTCCTGTTCCTACGACTACAACAATAACGCCATCTACATCCGAAACACGCATACAAACTTTTATAAATGTAAATTAATTTTCTTTTTCAGCACAATGTTGTTGGAGAGGAAATAGCTTTTCAAACTGCTACTACTGTGCCTCACCATTACTATGTTTTCGGGGTCAAAGTTGTGAAGATACACCGCCACCTAATACATGGCCACCAGCAACAACACCGCCAACAACACCATCAACGACAACACCACAACCAACACCGCCAACAACAACACCACCAACGACAACACCACAACCAACACCACCGACACCACAACCAACACCACAACCAACGACAACTCCATCGATAACAACCCCAACAACACCACCGCCAACAGCAACACCAGCAACAACGCCACAACCAACACCCCCAACAACACCACCAACGACAACAACGCCAACATACCAACCCCCACCATGTCATCATGGAAAATGTTCCAAAGGATTTAAATGCGTGCATGGTTTCTGTATTCCAAATTATTAAAATGAAATGCAGTGATATATGTAAAAATATTGAGATAACTGAGAAAAATTTTATGGTGCTTTCGTTTATCTCCACACATGTCGTTACCCTCGTTACCCGATTTATAATTAAATATCTTATAAAATGTTAATGTAAACGAATGGATAAATTATAATATATCGTATTTCCTCTATTAGAATGCCATGGCATTCTATTTTTCAATCACCTCAAAAGGTGGAATTCTATTAGAGGGTGGAATTCAAATAGAGCATGCATTAAATAGAAGGTGGCTCTATGAAAAATTCGTAAAAATAATATAAAATATTATATCTAAGCCGAACATAAATGAACTGCCTAGAGATTGAGGATGTTAAAAAATTTAAAAAAGTTAAGCGAATCCTCGTAGTTGAGAAAACTGAGCCCTCCATCCGAATACAACTGCCAGGGAGGACATAGGTTATTTGTCATTATGTACATAATGTTGTTGACTCAACCTCTTCTGCTCGCCTGGCAGACGAGCTAAGCTCGAATTCCATACACCTCCAAGAGATGCATCATAAGAGACGATTATGCCAGGGGTTGCAGCCAGTATCACAATTTGTTCTACGGCGTCTTCCCCCTCCTAGAGCAGGAAACGGCGGCCAGTTGATTCGCACAGGTGCGCCCATATTTGTCCAAGTTATATAATAGAGGGATCTTATTTAAACAAATACTAGATGGGTTGTAATTAATAAAAGGAAAGGAACCGTGATAAGTCTGAAGAGCACGGTCACTAGAAAAAGTTAGCAAAAAGCACTCTTTTGATATTTTTGAGGTTTGCCAGTAGGTAATCGAGCTTGCTGATTCCAAATCTGAGGTCAGATTTAAGTTATTTCTAAGCACGGAACCCGAAGGGAGCAGGCCAACGTACCGCGAGCCCAACGTACCGCAGAGCTATAACTTCGTTCAAAAGTCTAATCCGGAACGTCTTGGTATGGTTCGATGCATCTCGACAAACTGAATCGAAACATATCAGGGCGTCCCGGATTCGACCATTTTAAGTGAAGTTATAGCCATGCGGTACGTTGGCCTCGCGGTACGTTGGTGGTGTACCCGGGCCCGAATCCGGTAAATGGCCGATTCTGGCTAAAATTTCGAAATTCAAATTTTAGAGCTAATCTGACAGGACTTGTGAAGAGATAGAACCAAACAAATATTTGACGTCAGAAAATCAATATTTGATCCAATTTTATTTGATTTTTTGATCTCCAAAAAACCGACCCAATATCCCTACACAACCTCAAACGTCAATGTTTACAGTTTCTATGCTTAAACAATACTAACAAATAAGATAATAAAATGTTGATGAATGTAATTTGTCATAAAACAAACATGTAAATAATGTTAAAAATAGAGTTCCTCTTTAATTTTTTAGGAAAATTTGTTTTTTATCTTTAACTAAACGAGGTTGTTTTGACAATTTTATCACTTGATTGAAATAATATTTAAAAAATCTTATTGAAAATGAGTGAATTTTAGATCAATGCCACGTATGTTAACTTTATTGATAAGCATTTAATGATGCTAATACGTGTATATATATATAAAAGCTAATCACTTCTATCTGAATAAATCAGTCTTTAAAAATAATTCATTAATAATTACTACAAAAATGAAGGTAAATAATGTAATAGGGTTAATCACTACCGTTATAAACCGCCGTGTCCGGACAATGCGTAAGTGTCCGGACAATGTGTAGAAAAAGTTTGCAAAAGTTTAGCCACCGGGCATTCGAACCTGCGACCACGTGCTAGTTGTTGCTAGGCGCTTTCGCTCACTATATGCAGGAGCTCTACCTCTGAACTACCGGGGCATCGACTATGCTTTCTCTTTTTCCTTTTTAGATCGTTTAACCCCCGCCTAAGCGTCTTAAATGCTGCTGGGTGAATCATCCTCACAGTGTCAGTGGAAAATCGGTCTGAAATATATTGGAGAATCATGGAACATACAGTCTACTGACCTATAGTCCAATGACATATTATACACTAATAATGTGTCATTATCCCTGAGCCTTAGCGGGTACCCTAGGTTTTCGGTTAATCCGAATTTCAATCCGAATTTAACCCGTCTTTTTGTTTTGAGTTTTAATAAAATACCGGTTTTATTTAGGGGGAATTTTTTAAAAAATCTCTTATTTTCATAGATTTCCGGTTTTCGGTTCTTAGAATTTAATAAACACGGTTAATCTTGTCCGGTTTAAAAACCGGTCGCGAACATCCCTTGTAAACACCTTGACCATTCATAATGATTTTTAACAAACTTAGTTGATGATACTGTCAGTTTTTATTCAAATGTGCTCAATCGCGATGGTATTATCCGACAGAAAAATACGTATAAAATTAATAGATTTCCAAGAATTTATTAATTATAGCCATAAAGCGGCCAATTTGTGGTTTTATTAACACCTGCCCACCTGGATATACTTGTAAAATTAATGTCTGCGTGCCAGACACACGTAAACCTGGCATAAATTTAAATTTAAAATAATTTTCAGGACGTTGTTGTTACCCAGGAAATCGCTGGCAAATTTGTTTAACCTGTTTCCCACCATTCACATGTGTCCAGGGTAAATACTGTAAATATGTGCCTCCACCCAAGAAACCAACAATAACGACACCGTCAACAAAACCAACAACAACCCCTAAACCACCAATTCCCTGTGATAAGTATAACCCCTGTCTACCTGGATATAGATGCGATTATGGTGTATGTGTTGAAGATTATTAGAAAAATATTAAATGAAGTGATATGTAAATATATGTATTGAGATAATAAAATTGAAAAAATGTACTAAAGTCATAATTATAATATATATTGGATATTATCTTTAAATAAATGAATAAATATTTATTTATATAAAAATGAGATATGATTTCTGTGACTTTATTCTATTTGCAAGATAACCCTATTTGGGCGAGGGGCAAAACTTCGAATGACAGCACTCAGTCCCGACAAAACTCAGAATTACCAAAACATTGTCCAGACAAACCTCATCTTACCAAAACTCTGTCCAGAAAATACTTGATTGCCTTTATATCAAACAATATAAATGACATTCAGAGAATTGATCAGATTTACTTTTTATTTATTTATCAGATTAAACTCACATTCATGAGTTTTCAGCCAGAAGTGAACAACCAGAGGAGTGATCGAACGGTGGAATGATCAAGCGATTGAGTGATGAACAAAAGGATTTATCAACTGAAGAGAGAAATCAACACCTGGAGTGTTAATAACAAGTAATCGATTAAATGATCTAGTGGTTGATCAAAGAAATATCCGGGCAATTGATACGGAATGCCGCGGTCAATTGGTCTACACAGAGTGATCAACTGATTAACACAAAGTGATCAATTTATTTAATAGATGATCAATTGATCGATCAACCAATAGATCATTTGATTGATCACTCTCTTGATCACTCTCCACCCTTCACAAACATACATGAAAGGATCTAGTTTCATTTTAATCATGTTTTAATTAAATAATTGGAATTCATGAATTTTCTTTGTTCCAAAACCAAGCGACGATTTCTCTTTCATAAGAGTCTCGCCAACTTCATTATTGTTACGTTGCGTATTTTGAGCCTACGAATAAATGGAGTGGATGTGTTTCTGCGCCGCGTGACCCTCCCTTAATGAAAATTTTAACCCATCACTATTCCTTCCAAAACCCGAACCGAACACAACCTCAAACGTCAAAGTTTAAAGTTTTTATATTTAAACAATACTAACAAACAAAGTAATAAAATGTTGGTGAATCTGATTTGTCATAAAACAAACATGTAAATAATGTTAAAAATATAGTTCCTCTTTAATTTCTTCTTGAAAAAGTTGTTTTTTAATTTTTAACTTCCACGTATTGACAAAAATTAAAGAAATGATAAAAGCTAATACGCGTATCTATAAAAGCCAAGAGACTCTATA